CTGTTTCGTCGTGTTGGCGAAGGCGAGCGATCGGCTTGGGAACTGAGTGACCGGGAAGAAGGAGGGGCGGGCAGGGGTTGCTTGAGGTTTGGTCTCGACCGTTGTCGAGGCAAGCTGGGAACTGGGGGTATAGAGAACGGGTCGTCCATTTTGGAGCCCTTTCTCTGAGGATGATGCGCGTCGCGACTATGAGATGTGAGAATGAACTTTACACTCGACCACACCAAACTCACAAATGGAGCTTTGATCGTTTATCCGGATGTTGCTGTGAACTGCATCAGCTCATTTGTCACTGCACTAGCAGCAAGCAGACAGTCTCACCTTTGCGTAGAGGTCAGCTATCCCGACTCATATACGACGAGCGAAAGTGTCGTTTGGCTTGGTAGTCAGTATGCGTTGCATTGTTGGTGGAGACGAGTGTAAGAGCCATCAACACGAGGTCCATGCGTGGGATGGTGTGCTGTGAGGGTGTATGTGTGTTGTGCAATCTCGACTCACTCGTATGTATCGGTTCGTTGCTGTCGAGTCGAGCCGGACCTGCCTTGGGTGTATCGTATCACCCAGTGAGACGTGTGAGCCGGAGACGATCGATGGTTTGAATGGATTTCCAGTAAAAAGGATGTTGTTTTGCCTCGGGGTTTGTTGATCTCTGAATCCGTCGCGTGGTGGGTTGGGTGGGTGGGTGGTCAACCGCAAAGGCGTCAAGGCGCGACGCGGGATCAAATTGAAACACTCTCCCAAAACCAAAATCAACCTTTATCAAGTGGGTGGCAAAAATAAAATAATGATCAAGGAGTGGTCTGCAGCATCTAACCTGGAGCCCCAATCCAGTCATCAGCATCATCACCCCACCTCGCTCTCACCGCTTGGCACAGGCAGTGCAGGGCGATACAATCTCAGAACCCATCCTTATCAGTCCTCGACACCCTCTCTCACTTGCTCGCCCCATATTCACATCTCGCCACACATGGGTAGAGCAGTCTTATTCATTCTCATCGCGCTCGTCGCGCTCTCTTTCGCTCCCAGAGTAGCAGCTTTTGGAGCAGGTACGTGCACGAACCCATCGAGCCCATCATAAATCTGGTTGCGATCAAGTTGAATCGATGGCTGACGCCTCAGGAAACATCCCTTCCTACTCGTATCTCGAGGATAAAGCGTACCGACATGGTGACATCGAAGACATCATCGCAACGCTCTTCAAGGCCGCCGGTGGGGGGTTCTTGTCCCGAGGCAGCAAGTTTACTCCACTTGATGTCAAGCGCGTCTACTTTGGCAACTGGTCCGTGATTTCTCGATATATATCTGTCCCGACCTAATGACCCAGGCTTCGAGACTACAGTCAAGTGGGTTTACCCCTGCCAGCAATCGCAAAAGCTGATCCCTCAGGCTGTCGACGTCGGGGCTCTGAAGAAGACTAACCTTCAAACCATCATCAACGTGGTCATGGTTCTGTGAGTCATCTTCGTTGAGCCCAATAATGCATGTGCTGAACAAACAGCGGATTTTTGGCCCATGGGTATGCAACCCCGATCCTCCCTTTCATACTTTACACTCACAATCTTACAGATATGTGACCGAAGAATTCGAGGTCACTCCTGAACGCCTTGCCTGCTACCTGCCGACCGAGCACATTGACAACCCGAAAGGCTATGCCGACGGTGAAGATGCCAGACAGTATCATCCCGGACTTCGGGGACCGGTCGATCCACAGGAGCTTGAGATAGACCCTCAGTGAGCTCACACTCTCGCCTTCCAGGATATCACTGACTCTTTAGAAACGGAATGAAGGCTTATATCGCAACTGGTGAGTCAAGCGCTCCTACCTCCCAAGTTTGCTTCTAAACCTGGAAGAGGGCCGTCACTGGGACACTTCCAAGGCGCTCGTGAGGAGGACGCTCGAGGAGTGTATCCACTACGGACGGCTTTACAAGTCCAACGGCAACAAGGCAGATCAGTATCAAGCTTTCCAGCTCCTCGGTCGAGCTCTCCATACCCTGTGCGTTCTCATCCTGTTTCGCAACACATGCTCATCCAAGTGAGGACTTCTCCGCCCACAGTAACTTCTGCGAGCTGGTCTTGATCTCCATGGGTCACCACGATGTGTTCCCGCACGTTGGCCGAAACGTCAAGGTCCAGGCACCAAATGGACGATCCGTCTACCCGCTGGTCACCGGCACTTTCGGCGGAGCAGACTTCATCCACTCTTTGATGGGAGAAGCTACTGATCACCTGAGCGAGGTTCGTCGTGTGAAAGAAGGTAGATAAGCGAGTTGACTGGTAGGCTTCGGTCTCTGATCTTTCACGAACGATGGCCAACGCTCGCTCCACTTCGGAGGGTCAGAGCAACTCTTCTGCCACCCTGCGACAGCTGTTCTTCGACCTTCCTGGTGGAGCCGGCAGTGATCTCAGCCGAGACATGGATGACATCAACAACCTGCGGGCGGGAGCTCCTGGTGCACAGGACCCCGGGAACATGTCTCCCCAAGAACTTCATGCGACTATCTGGAAGATCTTGAGCTTCCGAGACTCCGTGATGAAGAAGATCGAGGTAGGCGATCTCGCTAATGCAAACAAAAGCTGACAGCGCAGGTGACTATTGACAGGATTCCCGGACTTTCTGGCCTGGTCGAGAAGATCACCAACTCTATCTCGGTGTTCATTATCACGACTCTCGAGCCATTTGTCAAGCCTCTCTTGGGTACGGCGACTACGGCCCTCGGTGCTTCCTCCGCTGCTGTCATCGATTCGCACGATCAGTACGAAGTCTGGAACGACTGGAACGCTTCCGACCCTACTCACTCCTTCCTGTCGAAGGATCATTTCGCTCTCATCCTGAATGAGCCGGCGGGAAAGATCGCTCAGACCGTTGTCGAGTATGGGGTCAACGCTGTTGTCAAGGCCTGGGACGACACCAGTATTCCTACTCAGCACGTCACGGAGGATCTTCTTCAATGCCTGTTCCACCCCGACTTCCACGATGGACGATGTGAGTTGCCCACATGAAGCTTGTCCCGTCAAGCTAATCACTAGCACAAATCCAAAAGATGATGCTTGATGTCGTCCGAAAGTGGATCGATGGCACTGGACGTGACAAGCAGGAGATCTTGAACCGTTTGACCGCCGACAGCGTCAAGCAGCACAAGAACAAGCGCATCGGCGACAACTCGCCCGACGAGGGACACGTCCACAACAGCCTTCTTCCCGAGGGAGGCCTCCAGCAGGTCCTCCAGCAACACAACGTGCATGTGGTACGTGATCTGGACTTTGGGAGCTTAGCGAGGCTGATTATACAGCCGGGGGCCGGTATCTTGAACGCTGGGCAGGACCTGATGAGCGGGAAGAAGGTGCGTTCTGCCAAGATTCGAGAGGCACATCAAGCGCTGACGCATCTAGCCATGGGACCAGGGCTTCGGATCCGGCGGTCAGCACGCTTGGCGTGACATCAACGCCTCTGCGCCGAACGACATTCCACCAAGCCTTGCGCCGTATGAGCAAGGAAACCAAGCCGGATACGCTCCGCCGTCGCACCCACAGTACTCTGCCCCGCCTCCTCAGCAATTTGGCTACGACAACGGGCCTCAAGGAGACGGGTATCCCGGCCAGCAATACCATCACCACCAACAGCACGGTCAGAACCAGGACTACCAGGGTCCTCCAGGAGGGCATCAAGGCGGTCACTACGGAGGCGGAGGCTACGGTGGACCGCAACCACCTCCCGGGCAGTACAATGGCGGTCAGTTTGGAGGTCAGCCTGGCTACGATCAAGGTGGATACAACCAAGGTGGTTACGGACAACAGGGGTACCAGGGCGGACCGCCTCAAGGTCAATGGGGCCAGCAACCTCCTCCGCCACCTCCACAAGATCAGTGGGGCAGCCAGGGTGGTTATCGCCAGTGGTGAGAGAGCACAAGTCGAGCTTGTACCGTTCAGCCAGTGGCAATATGTTTAGAATGAAAGTCGTTTGACAGAGCTCGAGTGGGTGGTGCAAGATACGACAACCCGTCTCCCAAAGCAGCCTGAGGATGTTGCCGGATGAGTGCGTCAGAGCGCGTCCCGGACGTCATGCTTCTTGACGGACAGCAGTATTGGGAGGTCGCCCAGAGAGCAAAACGCGTGGCTCGTGCAAGAGACTGAGCGGCAGACTCAGGTGTCTATAAATCTACAAAGACGATTGCTTGTACATGGTATTGGCCCCCAGCGGAACTTCGACGAACATTAGCGCGTGAGCCTCTCAAAGCATCAAGGACAGACACTAGCGTGGACACCCAGACGCGCACGGCGTTCAGTCCTCGCAGAGGGAGTCCGCCGTGATCACCATCGAAGGGTTGACGTACTTGATTCCACGATGCCGTGAATCCTTAGGGGACGATCGCTCGGAGCGACCGTGATTCTTGAAGAAGTGTCGCAGCGATCGATCATAGGAACCCCCCGGCTCCCCCTCATCATCACGGCGTCGAGAGGGCGAGAGCAAGCGGTTGTGTCGGTTCATCTCTCGTCGAAGCTTTCTAGGTGCTCAGCATACAGTATCGGGGCGAGCCCGTTAGTCACCCTCACTCCCACCTCCCTCATGTGAGTGCGAGTCACGAGAATAATCATGCACGCGCAGGTGCTCCATTCTGAGAATGTCGTGACGGTCGGTGGGTGTTCGTGAAACAGATTGCAATGGTATCTTGAGCAGATCCCCACTTTGCGCTGACTGTCTTACAGCTGCGAAGGTCGTTGTAACCCAGGTCGCTGGAGAAAGATTAGTATCCCGACGGGAGTCTCATCAGCGACATCATAACCATACAGATGCCTGAAATGTCGGTAGTGTTCACAATCCGTGCGGATCGTTGTTCAACCATGTGTCTGTAGCCCTGAGTCCGCGGCCTTCGTCGAAACAGACTGCCATGCTCCAACATGGCTTCGGTGTACTTTGTTCGCTATGCATGCAGCGGTCGATCACCGAGAAAAAAACATTCGGGTTTGGGTGAGTAAACAAGATCACAAAAAAAAAATCGTGCCCCCACTGTGGGTTGAACACAGGACCTTTCCGTGTGCATCAGTCTTGAAAATTCAAAATTTACAAGCGGAATGCGCTGCCACTACGCTATAAGGGCTAACGCTTTTGAAACACGCCAACTCGATTATATCTGGATGCTCAATCCATCTAGGTCCTCGCCAGCTGCTTCTTCTGTCTCCTCTTCACTGGTCGTCTTTGAGTCGATCACTCCTGATCGATGATAGCTTACTGGCAGTATCTGATGTGATCATGGTTGCCTGTCCCGTTCTGCGGTTTATTGTCGACCCAACGTCGTGGTGTGCGCGTGTGTGTGTGTGTGTGTGCGTGTGTGTGTGTGTGTGTGTGTGTGTAGGGGGGGCGGTTCTGGTCTTGTTCAAAAGCGGACAGCGCACTGGGTGCGAAAAGATGCGAAATTTGGACACCAGCACATCTTGATTTGACCTGAGCTGGATTCTCACTATGCCCCATCTGCTTGATCTCGTTTGATTACGCCAATGCATGCCTTGAAGCCCTTCCTCTTCAGTCTGTAGAGGTGAGGCTAGCAGTCTGGCACTTCGCACCGCGCAGCAGCGAGGAACGACACAACCTCCTAGTCCCCTTGATGTATCCTGTCCAAGGCGACCGCCTTGTTTGTGAGAAGCCAATCATGAACAACCATGAGGCACCACATCCTTAAATAGCGCTCTTAGTGGAACCAGCACCGCGATCCGATAGGCGAACCTAATAGTATGGTCAGTCCGCCTCGTCTGCGTACATATGCCAGGACGGCAACCAAGGAGCATGGATAATTCGATGCATAACAACTCTGTGATGACGTTCTCCGACCGCAGAAACATTCTATTGGGGCTTTTTGTAACTGATGGTTGCGGTAGCTTGGTTGACGGGCAAGATGACTGAAAGATTACTTATCATCCACACACAGAATCGCGAGGTACTCACGGACTTGAGCGACATTGACATGAGGTGGCCGAGAAGCGACCCAGACGATCTCCTCGGCAATGTCGTCACCGGTGACTAAGATTTATTAGATTGGTGCCGGATTGAACAAGGGGATTACGCACGAGGGTCGAAGCCCTGGTACACGGCATCGGCGGCAGCTTTGTCTCCTCTGAATCGGACGATTGAGAACTCCGTCTCGACCATACCTGATCATCAGCCAGGGCACTATGCCAGACGCGAGGCTTACCGGGCTGGATCTCGCACACGCGGATAGGGGTGTTGACGAGCTCCCGCAACAGGGTGTGGTTGAAAGCCGACACGGCGTGCTTGGTAGCGCAGTAGATACCTCCACCAGCGTATGCCTCTCGGCCGGCGATGGAGCCGAGGTTGATGATAGTCTGCGATTAGTACGGACAGTACGAGGGGTGCAGAACATACGCCAGAGTTTTGCTTCTTGAACTCTCGGACGAAGATCTGCGTCAGGTGAATGAGACCGATGACTGCTTGTTAGCGAAACGTAGTGGGTGTCGGGCGCAGTAAGAAGTCCTCACCATTGGTGTTGAACATGACGTCGATGTCCTCGTTGGCTTATTGGGTCAGCTAAGTCCGGTGGCTGTCGAGGTTTGGCATACCGATCTCTGGTTATCAGCTCGTTGACCTGATAGAAGAGCAAGACTCACCTCCGACCTGCTCACGTCCCCTGACCATACCGGCATTGTTGACCAAGCTGTACGTGAGTAGGTGGTCTCATCATCTGGGCCGAGGACCTCACATGTCAACAGTCAACCCCTCAGTCTTCCCGAGGATGGCATCGAGATCCTCCCTCTTCTGCATGTCCGCCTCGATCAACACGACCTTGCCCTTGCCAAGCGACTCGGCCTCTTTCTTGACCTCGGCGAGCTTGTCAGCTCGTCGGGCAACAAGGATCAAGTTGCTGCCGGCTTTGGCGAAGAGTTTGGCGGTAGCTGCTCCGATACCGACAGACGCGCCAGTGATAAGGACTAGCGTCAGCTCGGCTACCTTGACCAACAAATTCCCGGGCGTAGACGCGTCGAGAGCATGCGTGGGAGCAGAGGAGCTTGTTCGGTGACTCACCAGTCTTGCCCTCGAGACTTGCGCGTTAATGTGGAACTCGCAGAGATGGCACGACTCACCGAGAAGTGTTAAAGATAGACATGTTGCGAATATGGTGAGACTTGGTGGGGGTACTGATCAAAGAGGAAGCGCGGTGGGGTTTTATGAATGACTGTAGGACCGGTCTCCACATATAACAAAGGAAGTGGGGATCAGATTATGCCGCAGGGCGAGAAGAGCTGAAAGATGGAACAATGGGATGTGGAAGGTAGGAGGGGGAGGGGGATGGATGGGATGCGATGGCGCGATATCAGGACGGTGTTAGCCGTCATGTTCCGACTGCCGAGAAGTCAATGACATTTATAGCCGAGTCGTCTATCCAGGATCTATCGACTATGAGTGGCCCATCATGCACCAAAATAATGCTACGACGAGGATAGGGGCAGGACAATCCAAGCTGAGCCGCCTGCTAACGTGCAATCATAAGAGACCGAAATGGTCCCTGCCTACTGACAAGTCCCTTGTCTGTCGAAACACCCTTTCTTGCCCTCCGATGCTGGGTATGTATAACCCCCCCTGCAGATGGCGGCGAGGTAGTAGCGATCTAGTCAACGCGGTTCCCCTGCCTCTCCTCGAGCGAGCGGCTGCAAGCAGATTGGCAGAAGCACAGGCAGCGTAGGTCTGCACTCCCTCGCTTCGGGCGCAAACCCCGGAAGGCATCCCCAACGCGGGCTACTGGTCAGACTGTCCAGACTGTCCAGAGTTAGAACAAGAAACCCACAGAGCACTATCAGTATAATGAAATAGCCGGTCAGAGGTCCAATCCCCATCTATGCGAAACGAAAGTACTCCCATCCCACCCAGTTGGCAATGACAAACCACGTCGTGGTGGGTATCAACAGCGGGACGAGGTATTTGTAATGCTTGTCTTGGTCGAGCATGTCAAAAATACGCCATGGAGGCAGGAACGCCTGAAGAGTCAGTCTAAATGAAATGCGTTGCGTAGCTTGACTGACCGATAACGGCGCAAAGTAGGATACACAGAGCGCCAAAGCGAGCATCGCAATGGCGACGAAAGCCGCCGAGAGGCCGTATAAAGTCCGCGATCCATACCGGCGAAGAGGCCGACTGGAGCGATGCCCATTGGCAGGCCCTGTCATCTAGTCCTCAACGTGGGTGGGAAACAAAGGGAATGGCGAGTCGAGAGGGGTCGAGTTTGTGGAGAATGTGCTGAAAGGGGGGATGACGACTGTCCAATGTCAACATTGGCTGAAACATTCAAACCTCACATGGATCTATCTCATCTCGACTTTTCCTTCGTTTGTTTCTCCCGCCCGACACTCGATACACAATACCCGTCTCTGAACCGTCTGGGGCATACCCGAAAGCCGAGATGTGCTGATCGGCCTTTGTTTCCTTGCAGCGTAGACCTCCACAGCGCTCTGTGCTACAGGCGTCGAATCATCGCGGTTGTACCATACGGTCGTGGTCCAGGCAGATCACGTTCTCGGCGGTGAGCCAAACACGTCTCGACCCCCATACCAGCGATCCGTGGAGCATTGGACGTTTCTCTGAGCATCCATCAGGTGATTCTACCCATCCCAACATTGCGAGACGGGCCTAACACCAGATCGCCAATGTTTGCCGGATCAACTCCCCCCATCCTATCGCTTCGGCCACCGCCCAGCCCGCCAGAGCAAGGACAAACATCCCCGACAGACACCAATGTGCTCTCTCGACTCCACGCATTGTTCAATGCCCATTCGCACGACGAAGCGGCGCATGATGATGGCCAAGGGCTCTCTCGGGCCAAAACCGCCCCGATCACGTCTCCCCAGTTGATTTCACCAGGAACGATCGTCGACCGCGAAGCCATAAAGGTCTTGGTTGTGACATGGAACATGGGCGATGCATTGGTGAGCACCTGCAACCTTCCATTCATACCCGTAGCAAGCGATTGTATGGACCGCATTCTGACAGTCACAGCCCAAAGGAGACCTCTCCGTCTTACTCGGCCATGTACCCCAATATACCGCCCCGCCTTCACCATCCCCCGGCCTTCCCACGCTCCCCGTAGAAGACAGTCATCCGTACCACATTGTGGTCATTGCCGGGCAGGAGTGTCCAACCGACTCGGGGGTCCCGAGAGGACTCGGTGGTATCATGAAAGGCGTGCATGTGCGACATCGAAAGGAGAAGGAAGAGAGGAGGAAGGAAAAGGAGAGGGAAAAGGAGGAGGAGTCTAGCAGCAATGCGCAAGAGACTGGGAAGGACGACGAACCGAAGACCCCCAACGTCGAGACTGATGAGGATGTAGAGGACGATTCGCGAGGCCCCAGTCCCTCTACCCCTACGACGGCGACCATCCCCCATAAACATACTCACCCTGCCACCTCGAAAGGATGGAGTATGATGCTAGATGGTGAGTCAGAATAAAGGTCGGGTCCTTGACGACGCTCACGACAAGACTGGTTCTGTGGGATAGTCCCTTCAACGGACAAAGCAGGCATGCCGGCCCTCACGCCTTCGCCAGGGCATTCCCCTGGCATACCCGGTCAATCGCCCTCTAGCAATCCCCCGCTTGCGTCTCCTTTCCCCCCGAGTCTCATAAGGTCCCCATCCGATCCGATTCTCACACTACCCACCGAGCCCCTTCACATCCCAATCAAAGGCCTTGCCGCACCAGCCTTTGCTCATTCTCCTCTGGCCAGATCCGCCTCTTCCTCATCGACGTCGTCGTCTTCAACTACACCGGATGAGCCTACGTCATCTTCGAATTTGCCCACCCCTCGCCTTCCCGACATTCCCGGACAGAAATCGGCGTCTATGCCTATCAAGCAAGACCGGCCTGCGATAGTGATTCCCAACAACGAACCAGATCGGACGAGAAATGGAGAGAAATGCTACCTGCACCTCGTCAAGGAGCGGCTGATGGGAATGTACCTGTCTGTTTATGTCTACAAAGGGTGTGAGCACCTGATCCAAGGCAGGTTCATTCCAACTCGAATCTTGCCATCAGCTGACTTCAGGCGTGGACAAGGACTTTGTGACCGCAGGGTTGGCAGGGGGACGATTGGGCAACAA